AAATTAAATAATTTTTAAAAACCCCCCATTAAGAATATTTTGTATTATTGAAAAAAACAACAAAAAACCCCCTTCCCCCCCCCCCCCCCCTAAGAACAATTATTTTTTTTTTTTTTTTTTTTGTTTACCCAAACCCCTTTTGATGATTTTTGTGGAATTCCCCCCCCCCCCTAATTTAAGAATTAATAAAAACTATTTTAAAAATTTATTGCCTTTTTATTTTTAAGTATTTTTTTTTTTTTTTTTTGGGTTTTTTATTTTTTTTTATTGATTTTTTTTTTTTTTTATCATTTTTCATTTAATAAGTTCTTGGGGGGGGGTGGTTTTTTTTTATTTAAAAAAATTGTTAATTTTTTTTTTTTTTGTTTATTTTTTTTTTGTTTTTTTAGTTTTTAGTTGTTTTTATTTTTTTAAAAATCCCCCCCCGTTTTTTTTAAATAAATTTACCCCATTTGTTTTTTTTTTTTTTTTTTTATTTTTTTATTTTTTGGGGTAAAAACCCTATAATTGGAAAAAAAAAAGGGGGAGAAAAACAACAAACCCCCCCCCCCCTCCCCCCCCCCCGTTTTTAAAAAAGAAAAAAAACCATATAATTGTTTTTTTTGGTAAACAAAAATAAAAATGCCCTCCCCCAACTTTTTTTAAAAAAAAGAAAACACCCCCCTGGGCAGCACAACCCCTGGGGGGGGGGGGTTTGTTGGGTTATAAAAAATTCCCCTTTTACGAAAAGGAAAAAGTTAAAAACATTAAAAAGAGAAACAGAAAAAACTGACACCCCCTAGTGTATGATTTTTTTTTAAAAAAAAGAAAAAACAAAAACCCTGGAAATTCCCTTGTTATTATGTGGGGGGGGGGGGGGGGGGAAAAAATATTACACATAAAAAAATATCAACAAGGTTACAAAAAGCCCCCCCCCCTTTTTTTTTGGTTTTTTTTTTTTCCCCCCTTGAAAAAACAAAATTTTTGGGGGGTTGTTTTTAGTTGTGATTTGGTTTTTTTTTTTTGGTTTTTTATTTTAGAAAATTGACAAAAAAAAACCCCCCCCCAAACCCTTTTTTATTGTTTTTTTTTTTATAAAAAAAAAAAAAAAATAAAAAAAAATTAAAGAAAAGATTTTATAATAAATAAAAGAACCCCTAAGCCCCCCCCCCCCCAAAAAGTATGACCCCCCCCACCGACCCCCACCCTGCCCCAGTTTTTTTTTTTTTTTGTATTGTTTTTGTTTTTTAAAGATTGTGGGGTTTTTGTTTACCCCCTACCCTGTTTTAATCGGTTTTATGTGTGAGAAAAGATTTTTGAAACTAATTATGAAAAACTGAAACCATAATTCAACATTCTGCTTTTCAGAAGGCAAGCAGTTTGGTTTTTTTTTTAAGTTTTGTACACGCCCCGAGCACCACCCCCCTAAGAGATTGCAGAAAAAAAAGGCCAACCTCCGCCTCCCCAGTTTCTTCCTCCTGTAAAAGCCATAGCTCAGGTAACAGCCAACATGGCAAACCGTTGCCGATTGGGTTAAACCATTAGCAAACCATTTGCTTAAGGGTTAACAGTTTGGTTCCCCCCAAAATGGCAATTGCAACTTCCTCTCAGGGGGCGGGGTCTCTCACTTTTTTAAATCAGACCCACCTGTCAGGAAGTCCCAAAGGAGGGGGGGGGAAAAGCTTGGGCTCCAACACTGGAGGAAACACAATAGTTTGGGAGAACGAGAACAGAGAAAAGATTGAATTTTCAAACAAAGTAAGAAATAAAGAAAGAAAATAAAAAAATGAAACCACGTTGTTATAAAAAAACCTAATACTCACATATGTACAAATGTTGTGCGTCCCTTATTCTCTACAGTATTTACACACAAACACCACACACAGATTCTTATTGATAAAGTCCCCCCATTTCCCAGACCCAAGGCATGGTTTTTTCCACCCCAGATCCCTACAAAAGCAGTGTCCCCATCGTTGAGCAAGCTGACAGCAGGTTCTTATCCCTCCATCACAGGTTTTTATGAAAAGGTTTTTTTTCTTTGGCTTCCTCACTGTCCCCGCTCCCCAAACGCTGCCTGAGTTGGCAGATAAGAAAAACGTCGTCCACAAAAATGGTGTTCAACCTTGATTGCTTACAGATTGTTTCATCAGGGAAATCCAGAAAAGCAGGCACAGGAACTCTTTTTTACAAAAATGTGAAAGTGCTTGTGAACCCTGTGAAACCATGAAAAAAGGGGCCTCTTTTACAAAAAATACATCTTTTTACGCGAACAGGGGGAATGTGTTGACCCCCAGCATTGCTGTGGGGGGCAGGGCTTCTGCGCTGCGTTAAATTAAAACGCACGGGCTTAAGTTTGTTATTTCCTCCATTCAACATCTGGTTATGGTTTAATTAAAAATTAGAATTTTGTTTGTAATCCTTCACAATACAGACACACATCCCCATTAGACGCAAGGTTGGGGAACCGAAATGGGAACTATGGTATGCCACTCCCAAATGTCCCCCTCACTGCCCTGTCCCACCCGCTGCACCCACAGCGTTGGGAGTGGGGGCAATCCCCACAGCAAGGGTGCCCATGGAGAGGGACCCCGCGCTGTTACAGCCCCTAAACTTGGCTCTGAAGAAGGGGGCAAAAGGAAATGCAAACCATAACACAAAACCAGATGTAAACAATTGGCCGAAAGTAAAATGGTCCCTTTTTAATTTCTAGGCAGAAAAGTAACGTCCACCCCCCTGGACAAAACCTTAGAGTTCAAAGAAAAACTAAAAACAAAAAAAAGGGGGGTTTCCTTTGAAACAGGTAACAAAATCCCCACCCAATATCTAATTAAGGGTACCCCTCGTAAAGGTCCCCCCTCCGTACGGTCCCCCCCCCCCCCACCCCAATGTAACCGTCTCTCCATAAAGTGGGGTCCCCCAGCTCCTGCCACCCCCCACACGTCCCATGTCACCCCTTCATTTCAAGGCTGGCGCCCGCACCTTGTATGGGAAACAAGCCGCCCCGTACTGGACGTCACACCGCTGTTTTTTTTAAAGTGGGGCGCGGCCCTAGGGTCAGCTGGTGGCGCAGATTGGGTTTTTCCGGGCGGGAAGCCCTCCCCCTATTGGCCAAACAGGAGGACCTTACCCGGGCGAATGGGGCTAGCATCCGGGAAAGGCGGGGCCTCCACCCCCCTAGACTTCCCACCGCGGGAACGATGGCCCGGAACCCGCCACAGAAGAGAGGTAGAACCCCCACCGCAACCCGGGGGAGAGGGAGGAGGTGCTTGCGCAAACTGCCCCCAGACCTGGAGCCGTAACACTCCCACCCCTCAAGACCACTGTCCCCCCCAACCCCATTTTTTTCCTCTCGAAACAAAACAAAACCAATCAGAACAAAACAACAAAATTTTATGCCAGTCACCACACCTTATCCTGGACAAGGCAATCCGGCCCAAACACATTCCTCCGATCCCCTTTTTTTTTATTCACGAATTCTCTTAAACGGAACATCCTGCACCCAATCATGGGCCCCCACCCGCCATCAGCCCTCATGGTTTGTGATTATACCAGGCGGGACAAAAAGGATACTGGGTTATGGTCCGGGTAAACACAACGTTGGCAACAGAAACTGGACCCCCAATAATAGACTCCGCCACGTCTTTCGTACACCTTTTCCCGGGGGGGGGAAGTGCTTTGGGAGACGAGGCAAACACAGTTGACCCAAAAGTTGTATTTTCCTTTATTCCCCTAGGGGGGAAAAAAGGTAAGCCCGGAGCTGGTTGGGTTATTCAGACTTTTCCCGGGAAGAATCACCCTCCCCGGAATGGGGTTAACCCCCCACTCCGCATCCTTCCCCTGCAATCAAGGAAACTTGCACCTACCTCCCGACCCGCACTAGCGTCCACTATCAAAGCATTGAAGGGGCCCGCAACGGGTCCAGGGAAGCCAGCCGAGGACAGGTTGGGTGCAATGACCACAGCAAGAGACCTTTTCCCTAACGCTGTCCAAAAGCCCGGATTGACACCAGTAGTTCCCCATTTTTTAAATCAACTTTTTAGGGACTCCAAATAAGGTGGGTATCGAGTTGGGGGACAAACCCCCACCTGGGGATGAGAAATTTTCCCGGCAAGAAAACTTCGGTAGTAACCCACACCCCAAGGCCCAGGAAGCGGGGCTAGCCATTCACCGCCCCGAGTTGGGTTGGGGGGCCGGAATAGGGCGGTTCTTATCCGCGGAAACTTTAGCCTCCAATAAAGGTTTGATCCGGAACTTGGCACCTGGGCTCCACAACCCTCACGTCCCAAACATTATGATAAACCGTGAAAAGCCCCCTTCACCACGAACCTCCCACCATTTAGCGAGGTTTAGGGTGATGAGGGCCCCCAAAGCGTGCCCAATTTCCTGGAAAAACACCCTGCTGTAGGACGTGTCCGTGTTTCCATCCAGGTTAACGGGAGTGGATCAAATAAAAGTCCGTCCCAGAATAAGCATTACAACTGGGCAAGGCCCCCCTGTTAGAACGACAATTAATCATGGGCGTTGAAAAAAGTTGCGGGAGCCGGTTTGCCCCAAAACATTCCCCAAACCGCCATTCACGGTAATAATAGCAAGGGAAGTAATCCAAGGCCCTCCCCCCGTTTAAACCAAAAACCGCAGATGAATTTATTCCGACGCGGCGCTTTAAGTTCCCAGCGGGAAACATTTGGGCCCCTAACCTTTTTCAATAAAATTCCCATTTAGTTTTGACCGTATTTTAAAGCAGGACCCAGATAGTCCACACAATCCTCCATTAGGGCGGGGCAGGGGATTATGAGGTCAGGGACAGTGACAGCGTTTTTAACTTTAGACGGAAAATCACCGTGTGGATGGAAGCCGAGCCCGAGCTCATCAGGTTTTTTTCATATTCCAACCCAAACAGGGAAGAAAACTCCCACGCGCTAGTTAACCTGGTTTTTTAGCCCAGACCATTGGCCCCAAGAAAAATACTCGCCACCAGCTTCATCACGACGCGTTTTTGGTGGGATTCACCCGAAATACGGATGCTGCGAATGGACCGCGACCTTCACGTCTACGTCATGTGCCAATACATTGGTGCAAACTTGGTAACGTCCCCAAACAGACATCTGAATCGGTCCCCCCCCACCCTACAGCCCCAGAAGTACAGGCCCCCCCTGCACCTGATTCAGCGCTCAAATGCTTCCAGTTTGGGCCGGGGGGGGGGGGTAAAACCCCGTAAAGCATTTTTTCAGAGTTCGGGAGACGCGGAAACATATGCTCCCTTTACGAAATTCTTTCAAGCAGGTACCCCCCGCTCTCAGCGGGCCTGGACCCAGGCCCAACAAATCCAGAGCGGAGGAACACTGGAGGGAGGGCCCCCGTTCCCCCCGTGGGTCCGGTGTAACCGACGGGGGAGTTTGATTAACTGCTTCCCAAACATATTAATGTGGCTAACCAACGCCGGGTTTTTTATTTTAGCCCGCCCTTCCCTGACCCCGGCGTGCTTTGATAATTAAATAGTCCAAGTAATCCAGACTGTTTTTTTTCCCTCCCTTTAACCACAAAGGAAAAACCGGTATTATTTAGGCAGAGAGCGTATCCCCCGGCACGGGGTTATCCAAAACGAGCAACCCCCCCTCACATTTCCCCGCCTTTTGAATGAATACCGAGGCCAGCGTCCTCTTGTTTCAAAGCTTGAACGCATTCATTTTTTTGCCTGTGCAGTCTGGTAAGGGGCAAGCCCTGGCGAGCCAAATTTTGCTTTCAAGTACGCGCTCACGGAATGTGCTTACGAAAATCTAAAAAACATTGGCGCACGCCTTGCGGGTGGGTGGAAGAAAGAAAAATGCCTTCCCCTTCAGCGCTTTTGAGCGGGCCCCCCGGGGAAGTGTGGGCAAAAGTATTCCCAAACTCCAGGCGGGCTGAACCCCAAAGAACCTCCCTGAGCCGCCACATCCCGGGCCCCTTTGGCAAAACAGCCACGAACGGGAATCCTTTGATTTCCCGCCACAGTTTTTTGTTTCAGTTTTCCATACAGTACTTGCCGCAGGCCAAATGGATTTTAAAGCGTCTGGTGGGGCAAACGCTCCAGAGCAACCCCTTGGGTTGAAAACTCAGGGTTGAAACGCCGCTGGGACCAGAACATGTTTTTTTTTTGTAACCCCAAGTGTCTGGGGGAACCACATGTGCAAAACAGGTTAGACCCTTTGAAAATTCGCCCCTTGGTCTGGGTCTGTAAACGATTTTTGGGAGTTCCCAAAGACTGAAAAGAAATGTTCAACACGCCTTGACTAGCGGATTGCCGGTGGAGTTTACGCATCGGGATGGGGCATCTGGGAAAAACGCGGTTGGCAAAAAGCAACCACATTTATAGTGGAAGTAAAATACATTACCATTCTTTTGTTTGGGGCCGGGGCAGAGGCCCCTACCCAGTGCCCAAACTATAGACGCGGTCCCCCCCCCCCTAAACGGCTGAATCAATAACCGAGGTATGGGGATTGTTAAAGGGAAGCGCCTAGGATTTGGCTGATTTGGGTGGTAGAGTACTAGCTACAGGGGTACGTTGTTTTTTTTTTGTCCCCACCCATCGACCCACAAAACGTGAACCCAAGCTGCCGGGCAAAAAAACCTCGGCCCCCCCACGTCCCCTTCTTTCCATCCCAGGCCACACAAACTGTCGTTAACAGCGATTTGTTTAAGTTTTTTTTTTGTAAACGCCTAGGTGACCCCGACCACAAACTTTCCATGTGCCACTGCTGTAGTACCGAATTTTCCAACGGTTTAGCAGGAGGCCCCAACCAAAAACTATTTGGGTAGACCGCCACAACACATCGTCCATGGGGTTGACGGTTGGGGGAGAAACCCAATTTTACGCCATTAACAACACCCTCGCGCAAAAAATAGTAACAGGATCTGAGCCATTTGTCCACATTGTTTCGTACTTCACCCACAACTGGAAACCAAGTTGTTTTGTAAACGTTGGGTCAGATCTCTGCTCCGCCAATGAGCCCCCGCCCCTCACGAGAACTAGGAGAGCTTGGTTGTCAATTTTTTTTGAGAACGCGGCCCCACCGTTCCCGCCGGAAGTCCGAGCTTTGGGGAAGGCCTGGGTCCCTCAGCTGTAGCCCACAAAATCAGCTGAAATGTTCTGATAAAAATGTTGTCCAGACAAACTAACCCATCCCCCATCTCCCAGATTACGGGCGGGCTTTTGGGCCCCAACGCGGAACCGCGCACAGCAGGATAAAGTCGTCAGTAGAGCAAATATCCCATAACCTGTCCCCATCCCCCAGCGGGGAATCAAGCCACTTCCCAAGGATGGGAGTTACCAAAGGCCCCCCCGCCAACAATCCATTTCCCATCAAAACATGGTGAAATCCCTGGAAAATTGGCAAACGCGTTGCAAAACAGCAAACGGGAAAAGGTCCCCCAATTTACGAAAGTTTTTGGAACCCTCGATTTGTTGCCCAACCAAAATGTACTGGCCTGCGGGCCCAGTTTAACCCCATTTCTATTCCCCGAGCACAGTTTTGTACGCGCACGAGGCCTGGCCTCCCAGAAAAGGGGAGAGCCCAAAAACTGCGGCCCTAAAGAATTAACGTCTTGAGACCCCCGCCCCCCAGTGTCCCCTCTCAAAAAAATGGCGGATGGTCTTTGATCAGGTGCGTTTTTGCCCCTTTCCAGAGAAACTATTCCCGTCCCCATAAGTTTGAATGGGTTTCCAAAACACGAATCTGGGGGTCACTTGGCAAGGTGGCTAGGAGCTAGGCCTAAAACCTCAGTTATTTTTTGATTAAGCCCCAAGGACCTTTAAAGGTTTTTTCGGAGAGCCGGTCCTGCGTTCTGAGTACAGGACACGTGGCCAACAGAAATGGCCCCAGCCAGTGCCGGCAGTAGTAGCCTTTTTCCCCCTTATCTTCCCGGGCCCCCCCGTCCTGTCAAGTCCTCGGAGAAGTAGGCCTAGGGAGCAAGGTTTGCGGCGAGGCCTGGGTCAGGCCCCCCCTCCCGCCAAATATTGGATTTTGTGAGTCCCAGCACAAAATCCCCGTCCCCCGAAGGCTAAAAAACAGCAGCATCCCGAAAATTTGGTCCCTTACCTCCTGCTTCATTTAGATACACCACAAACACCGGTCCCGGGGAGGCTTTCTCTTTAAAATCCTCCAGCCAACATAAAGTCAAACGTAACGAAAGGCTAAACTCCATGAGCTTTAGCAGACGAACACCACCTTTTGTCCAAAATAGCAAATTCCTTTTCCCTCGCAAAACTCAATGTAGGGTATGGGGGGTTTTTTTGGGCCCCTTTAATGGCTTCGGAACCTTTTTGCCCCTGTAGGCCCCCTCAAGGGAACAGCTCCGATATTGCCCCGGTTAGTATTGCCGCCTTCCCCTTTGAACTGCTTCGAACCCAGACTGGTCTGCAAAGGCATTGGCCTGCAATGATTTGTCCTTGGGCTTATCCCGTACAAAATTTTACCGATTGGGGAAAGCAAAAGAGGCCAAATATCCCCGCGTGGCCAGTTTAATTGCCGAGGCGATGCCCCGCCCTCAGAATTGGCAAGCAAAAAATAAAAAAATTCCCACTTTCCTCCCTCCTCTGAAGGGGGGTAACAAGGGGGAATGAATTTTACTTACATTCCGAGGGCCGCCGCCCGTGAACGTGGGGAGTGGGCTGCAGCCAGCCTCCGTGGTTCCCAAGGGCCCGGGAGTAGGGGACTGGGGGGAGGGAGGCGACCTTCTGCCTCCAGCCTCAAGGCGGCGCCAAGTTTGACGTTCCCATTGGTCAGGCCCTCTATCTCCGAGCTTGCGCACCTGAAAATTCGAGCTCGCAACTGCCGGTCCCCGTTTCCTTCCTGCCTCAGCTTTTCCATTGTATGCGGGCCAGGCCCGCAACCAGCGCGTCCGGGGCCAGCATCCAAGGACCGAGGAGAGGGTGGGAGAAGAGGTGTGGGGTCATACCGGGGGAGGGTGAACAGAGGGTTAGGCGGGTCATCCAAACCCCCGCGCCCCGGGCTCTCCCCTTTTTGGCCCCAGGGGGGAGAAAACCCATCCTTGAAGGGTACAGGTTTCTCCGCCCGCCTTTGGGGGTTTTTCCCGCAGGCACGATACCCTCTCATCAGTCCCCGCTCAGGAAGCCAACCCTGGGTTTGCCCCGAAGAAGGCAAAAGGCCCAACCTCCAACCAAGGCCTCCCCACAAGCAGCCGCCCGGATCCTCGTCCTTTCTGCTCTGTTATTTTGGGAATATAAAATGTTAAAATCCAACGAGCAAAGTGCAAATGAGGTCCACCTTTTCTTGTTTGGCATTTGTTCAACGCCCTCAAACAGGGGGGGGGAAGGCTGCCCTTTGCCAACGAAGGCCCCTCAAAGTCAAACACCATTTTGAAAAATGCCAAATAACAAAATTCACCTTCACCTTTAAACCCAAAGTAAATGTTCCCCATTCACTGATTTGGCCCGGGAAATGTTTTTTAAAACAGTATCCCGGACGAGCCCCCCAATATATGTTTAACAAAGACCTAAACTTGGCTCTGGAGGAAGGGGAAAGGAAGAAAAAATGCAACATAACACAACCAGAGTGGTAAAATTGGCCGAAAGTAAATGGCCTTTTAATTTCTAGGCAGAAAAAGGTAACGTCCCCCCTGGACAAAAACTTTAGCAAGTCCAAGAAAAAACCCCTAAAAACAAAAGGGGTTTTTCCCTTTGACAGGTAACAAATCACCCACAAATTCCCAAATAAGGTCCCCACCGTAAGGTCCCTCCGTACGGTTCCAATGGTAACGATCTCCTCCAAAAGGTGTCAAGTCTCCACCACACGTCTGTTCTCTCAAGGCTGGCGCATACTTGTATGGGAAAACAAAGCCCCGCCCCCCGTCTGGAACGTTCCAAACACCGCCTGTTGTTTAGTTGGCCGCGGGCAGGTTCCCAGCTGGTGGCCGCAAGAAATTGGTTTTCGGGCGGAGCTCCCCTATTGGCACATACAAGGAGGACTCCTCCGGGGACCGAATGGCCCCTAAAAAAGCATCCCTGAGGGCGGGCCCCCACTAGAACCTTCCGCCCGGGAACGAGCCCGGACGCAACAGGACAGAGAGGAGACGCACCGGGAGAATGGGAGAGGTGCCTTTGGCCCCGCAAAACGGCCCCCCCATAGAAACCCCTGGAAGCCCGTAACAAACCGCGCCACATACAGTTCAACCTCCCCTCAAATTTTGCCTTGTCCAAGCAGAAGTCTTGGCTTCCAAGACCATTCCTTCTGTAAACATTCTGGGAGCGCAAAACGCCTGCTCGCAAGTTTGTAAAAGTAGCCCGCTTCAGTGCATTCACATAGACCCGCTGCAGACCGCTTTCATTTGGACGCGAGCCACCCGCCTGCCACCAAAATATGGAAATTTTTAATTCCCATTCATTCTTTCTTTATTTTTATTCACTTCACAATCCAAGAGAGATTTTTCAAAATTTTTTATCAAAAAATTTCTGCAAATTTGTCAAAACAGCTGCTGAAAAAAAATAGTGGTAAATAGTTTTAAAAAAAAAAATTTTTTACATAAGCCATGAACCAACCCTGTGGCACACCCCTGCGCCGTTGTCCACCGTAAAATTAACCGCATAAGGTGTTTTGCCCTCCCCATTCACCCTCCTGGCACCGAGGTGGAAGTTTAAGCCCCCGAACGTTTGAAATTATTCGCCTGAATATTTCGAACAAAATTCCCCCTGGATTTTTTCCAAGTTCCTGTACCCCCCCGTATTTTTTCAGTTTAATGAAGAAGTGTAGTATTTAAATTGCCTGTGTCAAATGTTCCACCCTATCAAAAAAAAAATAAAAACCTTTGCCTTTTAGGCTGCAGCTGGAAGCGATTTTATAACACGAAAAAACCCCAAGTGAAAGATGAATTCCGCCGCTCGTACGTGTTGGATAAGCCCTATCCTCCCAGCAAGGGGACCGTCCCCTGCCACAAAGTGGGGCAAGCCCTTTGACAGGAACGATTTTTGGCAGATGGCGGTATGGTGAATTCAATAAAAAACGCTGGCCTTTTTTAAAAAAAGTAGTTTTTTATTCCCAGTATTTTGATGGGGTGGGGGTAATTAGCTTTCCCATTTTGAACAATAAGGCGTATGCACAAACCCAAAGCAAGAAAATTTGGGGGGAAAAAATAAAAGGTTTTTTTTCCCCCCTTCACAGCAACAAAAATGAAATTTGAAAAAAAATTCACAAAAATCCACAAAGACCACTTTTCAAGGGTTTTTTTGAATGGAGTGTAGTTAAGCCTCCCAATTGAACAGTAAGCTTACATCTCTTCCTCAACAACAACAAACGGAAAGGAGGAGGAAAAGAGAGGAGATGGTTAGCTACTACTGTTCAAATTGGAAGCTACTACTACTAAACCATCAAACAGAAACCCCCTGAAAAGTGTCGCCCCCCTTTGGTTGAATTTTTAGTGAAATTTTTGTTCAATTTCATTTTTTTTTGTTTTTTTTGTCTGGTGAAGGGGGAAAAAAACCCATATTTTGTTCCCCCCAAATTTTCCTTTGCTTTGTAGTAAAATCCTAAGCTTATTGTTCAAATGGGAGCTATTTACCAACCCAATCAAAAACTGGGGAAAAAAACTACCCTTTTTTTTAAAAGCATTTTTTTTATTTGTATTTCCCCACCTACCCCCCCACTTGCCAAAACGTGTCTGTCAAAAGGCTTTGGCACTTTGGCTGACGGTCCCCCCCCCCCCTTGCCTTGGGAAGAGCTATTTATCCACCAACGGGTACGAGCCGGAGAACCCCTTCACATCTTTCATCCCTTTCCAATCTTTGTTTTTCCGTGTTATAAAATCGTCAGCTGCAGCCTAAGCCCCGCAAAAGTTTTTTTTTTTTTTTTTTTTTTTGATAGGGTGGCAAACATTTGTGAACAGCATTTAATACAACAACCTCTCTGCATTAAAACTGAAAAATACGGACCCAGAAAAGAACTTTGAATCCAGGTGGGATTTTGTTTCCCCCGAATTATCAGGCGAAATTTAAGAATAAAACCCCCGTTTCCGGCCTAACTTTCCCAACCTCGGTGGCCAGAGGGTGAATGAGGCAAAAACCAAAATGCCTAATTTACGTGAAACGGCGCAGGGGTGTGCCCACAGTTGTTTTTTTCATGCATTTATGTATAACAAATATAACAACCCTATTTTTTTTTTTCAGCCAAGCGTTTTTTGGAAAAACAACATTTTTGCAGAAATTTTTTGGAATTAAAAATTATGAAAATCTCTTCTTTCTTGGGATTGTAAAAAAGAAGTTTGAATAAAAATAAAAGAATGACTGAAAAAATTTCAATATGGTGCAGCGGTGGTGGGCTTTCTCGTCCAAAATTGAAGCGTCCCCTGCAAAACGTCTTTTTGGTGAATGGCCAACTGAAAGCGCTGTACACTTTTGCGAGAGCGTTTGGCGCCTCCCAGAATTTTTAACAGAGAAAAGTCCCCTGGAGCCAAAGACTTCTTTGAATGACCAGCTAAATTTTTGAGGAAGTTTTTTTAAACTGTATGTGGCGCGTTGGTTTACGGCTTCCAGGTCCCTTGGGGCCCCCCGTTTGTTTGCGCAAGCACCTCCCGCTCCCCCTCCCCATTCTTTTCCCACCGGTGCCGGTTCCCTCTCTCTGTCTGTGGGCCCCGTTTTTCCGGCTTCGTGTCCCGCGAAAAGTCCCCCTTAGGGCCCCCCGCCCCTATCCCCCCCGGATGCCTGCCATTCGCCCCGGAGTTCCCCATCCTGTAATGGGCCAATGAGGAGGCCTTTCCCGCCCGAAAACCAATCTGCGCCTCCAAGCTGACCTGGCCCGCGGCCCCCCACCAAAAAACAGCGGTGGGGTGGTAAAAACGTCCCCAGAACGGTGCGGGACTTTGTTTTTCCCATACCAAGTTGCGCCAAAGTCCCTTGGAAGAGACAAGAACCGTGAGGGGGGTGGGAGAGCCTTGAACCACCTTTTTGAGAGACGTTACATTGACCGTTCGAACGAGAACCTTACGAAAGACACCTTATACATTAGAATTGTGGTTGGATTTTGGGGTTACCCTGTCCAAAGGAAAATACCCCTTTTTTGTTTCGTTTTTCTTGACTCTAGAGTTTTTTGTCCCAGGAAAAAAAACGTTTAACCTTTTTTTTCTGCCCTAGAAAAATAAAAAGGCCATTTACTTTTTCGCCAATTTTAACATCTGGATTGTGTATGTTGGTCCCATTTCCTTATCCCCCTTACTCAGCGCCAAAGTTTAGGCCTGTAACATATAAGGGTGGCTCGTACCGGGAATACTGTTTTTTTTTTAAAACCATTTCCCGGCAACAGTGAAAGGACATTTACTTTTGGGTAAAAAGTGGAAAGTTGAAATTGTTAAAAATTGGGCATTGTTCAAAATGGTGGTTTGACTTTTTGAGGCCTTTCCCGTGGGAATAGCCCCTTTTCCCCCTTGAGGAAAGTTTATTTTTTTGGAACAAAATTTGCCAAAAAAGAACAGACCCTCAAGCACTTGCTGGGCAGTTTAACATTTTTATATTCCCAAACAGGAGGCAGAAAAAAGGAACCGAGAATCCCGGGGGCCAGCTGCTTTGTGGATGGCTTGGTGGAGTTGGGCCCCTCTGCCTTCTCCGCAAACACCAGTGGCTTCTGAGGGGGACAGAATGAGAGTTAAAATCCGGTGCCCTTCGGGAACCCCAAAAAAAGCGGATGAAGAAACCGGACCTTCAGATGGGGTTCCTCCCCCCCCTTGGGAACCCAAAGAGAGCAGGGCGGCCCCCACGCGGGGGGGGTTATGAACCGCCTAAAGAACCCTCTGTTTTCCCCCACACCCCTCCCCCCCCCGGTTAATGAAGCCCAACACTCTCCTTCCCCACCACCTCCTCCCCGGTCCCCTTTGGATGCCTGCCCACCCCGACGCCGCTGTGCGGCCTGGCACCCCCGCAAATTTTAAAATGGACAGCTGAAGCAAAAAGAAAGGAACGGGACCGGCAGTTGCCCGAGCCCTCCGAAATTTTTTCAGGGTGCGCAAAAGCCCTCGAGGGATAGAGGCTGGGACAAAAGAAAACGTCAAACATCTGCGGCCCCGCCTTGAGGCGGGAAAGGCCTGAAGGTCCGCCTCCCCCCTCCCCCATCAA